AGCAGTCCTTAGACCACCGGAGTCCAAGGGAATAGAGGCTCCGGGGGCGGGTCTAGCAGCCCAGATGCAGCCAGAGGGACTGAGGATCAGGTGAGTAAAACAGCTTTATTTGAGCCCCCCTAGACAAAACAAGCACACGACCCTTGCAATGCAGGGATAGTCCCGCTACATGGGTAAGTGTGTGATTTTCCTGGAGTTAAAGAAGGCATATCATTGGTCAGGATCAAACTCAAATGTTTCTCCACCGGTGAACTCTTCAAGTCTGATTTTGTTTTTAAGAACGGTTGGGGTTTCAATGTGTCTACATTCCACTTCCAGCTATTTTTCTAGCTGCTGTTTCACAGCTGACGGCAAGCACTAGAAAAGGCTGTTAAAGTGGAACAAGACAACAAGATTTCCCCTCTGCTCCCCCCTACAATGATAGGAACCGTTGGAAGAAAACTGCAGCACGTTGTAACTTTAAAGTGACACTAAACTCAGTTAAAGTTAAATCTTAAAAATACATTTAAGTACCTTAAAGTGGTATTAAAGTCTCCATTTGTTTACATATATCTATTACATTATAGTAATAATTGACAAAGCTTCAGTTGGGCTTTAATGTATTAGATGATGGGCTTCTATAGCCTCCAAGTGCTGACCTCCCTACCTCCTACTTCAAGAGTGTGAAAGGGGACAGGCTATGACAATGAAATGATAGGGTCTCTATAGTACAGTGGTACCTCGGTTCACAAACTTAATTCATTCCACGATTCTGGTCGCAAAACGAATTGGTCGCGGACCGAATCAAACTGCGATCAGACCGCGATGTCGACTAGAGGAAGCCACGACCAGTGTCAGAGCAGGGAAGATGGCTGCGGTTGTGTTTGTCACCCGATGCGGAGTTGGCGAATGGAAGCAAAATGTTGCCGAACTTCCTGTTCGCGAACAGAAGCGTTCGTGAACCGAGGTACCGCTGTATACGAACAATGTCTGGAACCAAGTTGCACAGCACAACCACTAAGGATAAAACTATCACTGTTCTCTTGTAAGGTTTATCAGCTGCTGTGGGGGAACATGGAGAAATGTAATACATAAGACCCTGGAGACTGAATGAAATGGGAAGGTCACATGTCTCTTCAGAAACAAATGACAATTCTCTGTAAACTGTGTGCAAAAAAAGTGCAATAGCATGTAACAGATATTTGTTCTTCACATTGACCACATAAATATTTACAGTTTATATAGACAGAAGAATGTAAACCAAGCTGGGGCAGCTCCTGGCCAACCAGCTCTTGTTGATCAAGAATTCCCAGCATGCCATTTAGCCGGCATGGCGGATGGGATCTGAAGAAGAGAAGGAAGGTCACAGGTCAATGTAAACAGCTTATCTTGGTCTTATTTTTCTCAAGAATCTCCCTGAGAGCCATGTAAACTGCAGTGTAAACAGTTAGCACCTTCTCAGTCAAGGCCACCACATTTCCAGGGGATGTAAAAACAAACCAAACTCTATAATAAATGGCCAAGTCCACCCAAAGATGATATATTAGCTCTGGGTACTGAGGAGTTGGTGAGCTTGGCCAACTCCTTGGGGCTGACATACTGTATACAGTTTGAAGAAATAGGAAACCAACCCTGCTACCGATGGCATGCAATCAGGTAATTTAAATCTTTAGAGCATGAAATCCTACTGGCAACTACAGATAACAAGCATGGAGTTTTCAATACCATGGACTTCATTATTAGAGTGTTTAGAATTAGAGCAATGGTCCCCAAAAAGGACTCTCTGCATTTTTCCCATCACAAGCAACCAGAAACCATCTTCCATCCTCCCACTGTTATTGTTTCCGGCAGGTTTAAATCTTCCTGGCTACGATAAAAGACCAAAGGTTGACAAAATAGTTCTGGTCTGTAATGCCCCACCATGCAAACTTTTTCTAATAAATGACAGCTGGGGAACCGAAACTTGAAACTGACCGGTTGCTAAGGCGGCACACAACTACCGTATTTTGCGCTCCATAAGGCGCACCGGACCATAGGACGCAGGGGTTCTGTGACCGCAGATGCAGTAAGTGACAGGTCAGACAGGTGGCGCTGTGATTACAGCGCCACCTGTCTCAGTGATCACACACAGCAGATGAAGAACGGACGGGCTCTATGGTGAGCTCCTATGCCGTGGTCACGGGTCCCCCAGAGGAGAAGGGGACCCCAAAAAAACCACGGCGGGGGGGGGCCAGGACACGTTTGGCTCCGTTGCTCGATTTGATACAAGTGATCTGATTAGATCACTTGTATTAAACAAGCAGCGGCCCCACGCTGTACATTTATCTCTGCTTGTCCGGAGCAGGGCTAAATGTACAAACAAAATACTCGCCCGGCGCCCGAAATGGCATGTCCCGGATGTCGGGATTCGCTCCATAAGACGCACACACATTTTTGCCCCCCTTTTTTGGGGGGAGTGCGTCTTATGGAGCGAAAAATACGGTAGTTCTGATTTTAGATATGATAAATTAGGCTCAATTTCAGCCTTACAAGGTTGTCACAAAGCCACACATATGGGAAGATTTACAACTGGATTCTGGCATCCAACATGCAAAATATAAGATGCTGCCAGGTTCTTCAACCTGTGGGCATACACAAACAAATCAAATGGTATTTTTGGATGCTCTAACCTTTAAAATGCACCAAAACACACAGCAGAGTTTGGGGGGAGGAGCCACTTTATGGGTCACACCAAGGCTATACAACTTTTCACTAGACAGTGGCCCATAAAACAAAAAAAGGCAAATTGCTGTGAACATCTAAACGCAAATGGAAATTGCTCGCAAACATATCAATACAAATATCTTCTGGATCAACATAACAAGGAAAGGCTTTTCATATACACTGCCTGGCCAAAAAAAAAGGCACCACTTGGATTTAGCTAAGCCAATAGGTTAGAGCCTTCTGTTGGATAATTACTGCAGTGATGTTTCATATGTTATGTCCCCAAAAAATGAGGTCAAAATACTGAATGACCAGGTCTTTCCATTAATGGATTATTTCTTCCCTGATGGCACATTGGGCATATTCCAGGATGACAATGCCAGGATTCATCGGGCTCAGATTGTGAAAGAGTGGTTCAGGAAACATGAGACATCATTGTCACACATGGATTGGCCACCACAGAGTCCAGACGTTAACCCCGTTGAGAATCTTTGGGATGTGCTGGAGAAGACTTTCACACAGAGGTCCGACTCTCCCATCATCACTACAAGATCTTGGTGAAAATGTATGTAAATCTGGACGGAAATATATGTTGTGACATTGCATAAGCTTAATGAAACGATGCCATGGCCAATGCATGCCGTAATCAAAAGGTGGTCCAACTAAATATTAAAGTGTGTGACTTTTTTTTTTGGCCAGGCCGTGTATTTTCATCACAGGGGGGGAAGGTTTACGGGGGGTGTAGCCCGCACCGGGTGACACCAAATGACTGACAGTCACTTTGGTGTCGCCCCCCTCTAAAAAGCTGGGCACTCAATCGTGGACCGAAAGCCTGACAACTGCACAAGAGGGGAGGGCACCCGTCCTCCTCCTCCCTTTGCCGGCGTCCATTATCAAGATGGCCACCCAGTTAGGTGCACACGACGTCAATGTGCATGATGCTGTCATCCGCATGCATGATTATGCCTCTGCAGGGTGACACCCGGCCTGGGGCCGCCTCTGCCTGTTACTAGCCTCTGTTTGCATCTTCTAAATTTTAATTTCTTTATTGGGAACTTACTTCTCCCATAATTTTTGGGCTAAGCTCCAAAAACTGTAATTGCCCTGTCCAATGAGATTGTCTCAGGTGCACAGAGGAGGGTTTTCTGGCAACCTGTGGTTTGGCAGAACTTTTACTAAAATAGGTGACGGATGCACGTTAGGGTTGGTAAAACAAGACCATCCTGAATCTTTGCGCGGTCTGCCAAGTGTCCTTTATATGGATCAGATTGTACTGTAGGATTCTTATGGGTAGGGATGTACCGATACTAGTTTTGGGCGAATACTCGTACTCGCCCAAATGCTCCGATGCCTAGCCCGATACTTCCTGTATCAGGAACCCGGGCCGCGTGTAATGATTGGCTCCATGCTCTCTCGTCACAAGTAATGACGCGCTGCCTGACTTCCTGATTGGTCGGGAAGCTGGCCAATCACGAAGCCAGGCGCCGTGTAATGACGCTTCATGCTCCCTCGTCATCTCATGCAAGTCTTTACATGCCGCCTTGGCTTCCTGAATGGGACTTCCGGTACTTGGTATCGGCGAGTACGGAAAAAAAATATATCGGTACTCGGTACCAAAATACCGGTATCGGTGCCTCCCTACTTGTGGGGTTATTTACTTCATTATTATTTGTTTACATTTGCGGAGAGAACTGTCTGCTTCGGCAGACCGTTCACACTGCTTTGACTGTGACTTCGGCTCATCCGAGCCAAGCCAGAGCATATGCGTTCGGCTCGGCTGAGCTGTTCGGCTGCTGTACGGGATATTGTGAATAGCTTCTATAGCAGCCCTTCGGTTACACTGAAACGCAGGGCTCCAGATTAGCCAAAACTATGGCTACATCCTTCGGCTCTTTAGTGAATAACCCCCTTAGTCTTATGTAGCACCCCAGAGGCCCTAAACACTGGTGAAAAGAGAAGCTGTGTGAGAAGCCACAGATGGAAAAAACAAGTCTCGGACTCCCAGGCCATATACTAGTTCTGGGACTTTGATGTCGCTCACAGTAAAGCTGAACAGGTTTAGCATCACTGCCCTGGAACAAGCATGCAGCAATCCAAGAATCAGAAAACAGCAGCTTCACGCATAGGTGTGTTCACATGGTTCTGCTTTGTGAAAGATTCCCTTCAATTCATAAATATACATTATTATGTCATAGCGTAAACACTGCTAAATACATCTAAGATAAGCTGCGGGTATTATTTTTTAGTGCACGGGAAACCTGTCATTGCCATTGCTGACCACTATCTGAAAATGCTTATCACCTGGCTTTTAAGCATCATTACTTTCCAAGTATCTGACCCGGAACAAATCTGCGGCAAAAGAGAGTCAGAGAAAAGTCATAAACCTGATCTGCGTACATGTTTCGGGTTAGTGATACAAAGTTTTAAAGCAAAAGTGTCAAGAGTAAGAGTTACAACCGAGCAAAAATCAGCAATGGCAGCCTCCATATGACAGGTTTCCTATAAGGATCACCTCCAACATTTTGGGGGGAGGTTCACAACAAAGGAAACATGACTTTCATCCGTTCTCCTGTTCCTATAAAGAAGCAGAATGGGGAAAAAGGAAGTACCTGGGGCAGGACATGTGCAAACATTAGATTTTGGGAAAGAGGCCCAGAGAATGAGTCATACTTTTTTTCCTTTTCTTCACCACCCGCCACCAAAAACGTATAGGCGGAGTTCTCCTTTAAGCCGATCATGTAAAAGAGGAAACTGAATATTAAACATTCACCTTGAACTAGAGCCACAGGCTCCATGTGTTCCTTGTATAACTAGGTATATTAAAGCCAGATATGGAAATCTGAGCCAATCTGAAGTGAATGCAACGTGTAGAAATGAACATGAAGACAGTGTGATGCATTTGCAAGTATACAGTACAGGTTAGAGTGGCCGTTCTATGCAGACATGACGCCGCGACCCACTGCAGAGGGTGTCGCGACCCACTTTTGGGTCACGACCCACGAGTTGAGAACCACTGGGTTAGAGGATATCAATTGTGGAAGGCCGGTTCTGGCAGCGGGAAATGAATGGAATGTCAACTTGTTGCTCTATAGGGGAAGCCTGGAGTTAAAGAGCACCTGTCCTCTACACACGAAAGACAGCTATTTAGTAGTGTGAGAGCATGTTCGGAAGCTGAAACTGGAAGCAAATGACATTCATAACCATTGAACCATCCCAGCCCATTCTCAGCCCCCAACATCCAATGTGGCTCATGATGAATTTATACCCTGTGCTCTAAAAAAACAAAACATGGCTGACCGTGTGTAAGTGACCGGTCCTGGCTATATATAATTTATCCTAGAAAGGGTTTAGGCGCTTGGTATACGTGGGATGGGAAATACAGGGCTTTGGATGAGTCTCTTCTTAAAAAAGCCTCCAGCAGCTCCATGCGGTGCTGGAGACACTGCAAAATGTCTTCCGACAGACTCTCCACACTGGAATAGCAGACCTTCTCCAGATCAAATATGTCCTTCAAGAAATGCAGAACCTGAACCTGTGTACAAAAGAGAAAGGGAGGATATTATTCTGCCACAATGATAGAGTCTAAGGGCACGTTCACATCAACGGGTGCATGTGAAGCTGCGCAAAACGCCCGCCTGCTGTTCTATGCTGCGATATGTTGTAAAGCACATCACAATGCTTACCTTTTTATTAACCCCTTGGTGACTGCAATATCAAAATGTAAAATGCCGCTTGCCATAAGAACATTGATTACCTTGCAGCAGAGAACCAGGAATGTGCAATTGTGTGTGTTCCTAGTTCTCAGAAACCTGGCCAACCAGAAGAATTAGTCATAGAGTTATTGGCAAGTATCTGATGCATAACAACACTGCTAAATATAGTCTGGGCATTCAAGCCTTAAAAAGCTCTGGTCACAAAAGCGTTCAACTTTATACTCTATTGAACGCCGCAAAAAAATGCAACCTGCCCTGCTTTATTCATCATACAATAATGCAGATCATTGGGATGAATTGAAACAATATGACATGAGGCACACTGCCTTGTCTATGTGTTGGGACTGGGTTGGGCAATGCATGTGAACGAGCCCTTAAGCCCATCGAATGTTCTATCATCTATACACACACACACATTATATATATATATACATACAGTAAACGCTCTGTTATCCGGAATTCAACCAGAACTCTCATCTACCCAGGTAAAAAAAAATCCCCTGTGTACTCTGCTGATCTGCGGTATGGATTATCCTGCAAATGATCATGTGTCTATTTGTCTTAATTTGCTTGTGATTACTGCAATTCAATATTAATATAACATCAATACAGAGTTTATATTATGGTTTGGTATAGTATGCGGTATGGCATTAGTTCGACCTATTTTTACTAGTAACTCTCAAGTAACCAAAAACTACATTTACCTGGAATTTACCAATCCCTGTGGATGACGGATAACTGGGAGTTTACTGTGTGTATATATATATATATATATATACACACACACACATACATACTGTATAAGGCACAAAATGGCTGACCCCATGTATGAAAAGGGGAAGGCCCGTTATAAGTTTCAGTAGACGTGTTCAGTACCTTATAGAAGCAGCAAAGGTCATTTAGTGAATTTCTGGGTCCCAGGAATCCCCAGGCCAAAACTGGACTTATGTGCTCGCAGACTGCATAGAAATGGGCAAAGAATCCCTCAGGCACCTGAAAATAAAAAGAAATCACAGTTTATATGAGGCTCTTGCGATGACTCCATTATTAATTTCCTCCTGTGCACATACGGATATCTGCAAGTGGAGATCAATTTAACAATGAGAACAGTGAAAATAGTGGCAATCTCAGTGGCACTTCATTACTCGCCGCCCAGCATGTGAAGACGGTGTTCTTTCGCTAGTACACCAGCTTCACAGGCAATCAGTAAGCCAGGCAACAGGTCATGATCAGACAGTCGACTTCCTGATAATCTGGGCACACGGCAACAGTACTCTGTACTCGGTATCGGCGAGCACTGAAAAAAAGTATCAGCACTCTATACTGAAAAACCGGTATCGGTGCATCCCTAATAGATACACTTTACGACAATATTCAGATTCTGGCAAAAGCCCAATGATGACTGTTTGTTTCTTTTTAAAATCCCATACACAAAGGTGTTAACTTGGGGGCGCTGGCATGGACACCAATGCAGTGTCTACATTCAAACAGCTCACAATAGTTCTTAGCAAAGGTTTTGCCTCAGTGTACACTGCTCTAAGAACAAATTATTATAGGTAGGGATGCTACAGCATCGTTCTGTTCAACGCTTCCCCCAAATGCCCCCACTAGCTCAGTAGGCATGAAGATCTGGCACCAGGAGGTCTGTGCACACGGCACCAGGGTATATGAGCCATTAGGACTTGAGCAATTGTTATTTATGTCAGCTCAAGATGTAGTCAGGTGTAGAGATCTGATTTCTTGTCACTGCTGGAAACAAACCAAGGACATCAAATCCTCGTTCAGCTGCTTCCTTTTCATTGCAAGATCCAAGCTCTGGGTTACTATAGTTCTGCTTGGAGGTGATGCTAAGAAAATGTGCCATATTATATATATATATATATATAATTTCCTGTAATGCCAAGAGGTATCAACAAACTATATGTGTGTGCATATTTTGTATGTGTAATGCAGGAGGATAACAGATTCAAGATTCAGAATCAAGGCCAAACCTGATCAATTCAAAGAGGTAGGTGGATTTCACCTTCAAGTAAAAAATCAATGTCAAAATATTGACTAGAACAAGAGATAACAAAGACAGTCTTGATGATAAACTTGGCCGAGCCTCAAACTACCCCCCGGGCTCCCTACTGGTCAGGTACACCACCAATGACATGATTGGACCAAATGAGCCACATTAGGGGTGAGGCCAAGCTTGACTTTTACTAAGAATGTTGAGATTTGCATACAACTTTAGGCCTTGTTCAGGCAAGCACTCGGCTTTACCATCCCTCTGAAAAGTGATCTGGGCAGGAACTCCGACAGGTTGTTAGTTGTATACAATATTGCCCTTTGTTTAGCATGATCATGTGAGGAATGCAAACCAACACACACACTCAGTTTCAGAATTAGCAATTCCTAAAGTTAATTAACTATAGGGCTGCAGCAACTAATCGATTCTTAGCATCGATGAGAGATGGGGGGGGGGGGAGAGAGAAATAAATAAACATTTTTAATACAACCAATCGATTAGATGGAAATAATCATTAGCTGCAGCCCTAATTAACTAGCACACCACGTTATATGCCTTGCAATTATCATAATTCTGAGTGTGCGTGCACCTAAACCTTATCTACAAAAGGCCAGTTAGATTCGCACTGAACCTGGTACTTGTTTAGAGTTTAGAGAGAGAGAAGATGGTGGAATATAAAAACCAAATGGACGATAAAGAAATTCAAATACAACTCTGCCCCCATCTTTATCTCAAACCTCGTCTCAAAGTATCACCCTAGCCGTCCCCTCCATCTCTCTAGCTTCCTCATCAACTCCTCCCATGCTCACCTCCAGGACTTCTCTAGTGTCTCTCCCATCCTTTGGAACTCCATACCCCAACCTGTCCAGCCATCTCCTATTCTGCCTATTTTTAGCTGATCCCTAAAGACTCATCTCTTGAGGGAAGCCTATCCCGCCTTAAACTAACCACTGAACTATCCCTTTCTCAAACAATTCATCCCCACACAGCTACCTCCTCATATATCACTGGCCCCTCCCTTTTAGATTGTAAGCCCTCAGGGGCAGGGCCCTCCTTACCCTCTTGTCTTGACTTGTATTGTGATTGTAATGTCTTCCTTATATTGTAAAGCGCTGTGCAAACCGGCGCTATCTAAATCCTGTATAATAATAATAATAATATATACACATTCCTTCACAACATTCTTTCCGGCAGCAGCTGCCTGGCATTTAGGGGGCAATACCGCTGCCTCCAGAATGCTGGGGGGGGAGGGGGGGGTTTTGTCATCCCAACAGGGATTTTTAATTACAGTCATGGGTCCATGGTTTCGGTGCAGTCCCATTCATTGCCATTGTCGCATTTGGCAAACACCAATGACAAGCTTCTGCTACCCACTCTCTGTGTAGAATGTGTGTAATGCTCACAGACAACGGTGTCACTGGTATATTAAATGGGTATTTGTAAAAATAAAAATTTTACACAAATCATACAAAATATAATACAAAAGATCCAAAAAATTGATTTAGAAACATATAAGCTTAGAAAAAAATTTCAACCCAATTACCCCCAAACCACCTCAGTCTCTCGTACATGCAAGGACATCAAATGCCTCCCCATTCAACAAATACAGAGATGTGATATGTTTGGTAGTCGAGCTGAAAATAATTTTACTTTTTACCTTTTTATTCGAATTTTTACCTTTATTTGTTGCTTCTTCTGCTTGAGCACCGACCAGCAGCTGGACGTCACAGCCTACATGTACACAAAAACGTAATTGACATGAGCTTTAAAATGTACTTGTACAGAAAATTGACTTTAATATTCAGAAGATCGGTATGCTTGAGATGAACAATACCCCAGGTGGATGAAATGATATTACCTTCTGTATGTCACTGGAAATAGGTTCACACAATGCAGCTAAATACAGAGCTGACATACATATATGTGAATGGCCCTGCCCATCAAACTGTTAGTAATACGATTAGACATGTCCTGTGATTTAAAGCACAACTCTGGGCAGAAATTGTATTAACCCTTGCAGTGGGGCTACCCCAGCAATTATCTGTAAGTATCTGTTTGTAGATTGGTCTTTGTTGTCATTTCAAAGATAAGGGTAAAGTTCCATGGCGTAGTGGTTAGCGCTTCTGCTTCCTCTGTGAAATCAGAGGAAGCCATTTCAGTCCAGGAGAGGAACCGGTACAACTGTGCAAGACTGAGGGGAAGGCCGGAGTTCAGATTTAGGTGAAAGGTAGAGTGATGGACAAGACGCTATGTAGGACTTAAACCAGGAAGTGGCAGCATAGTGGCATAGGCAGCATTTAGGTGAGAGTGATGGACAAGACGCTATGTAGGACTTAAACCAGGAAGTGGCAGCATAGTGGCATAGGCAGCATTTAGGTGAGAGTGATGGACAAGACGCTATGTAGGACTTAAACCAGGAAGTGGCAGCATAGTGGCATAGGCAGCATTTAGGTGAGAGTGATGGACAAGACGCTATGTAGGACTTAAACCAGGAAGTGGCAGCATAGTGGCATAGCGTGGAGCCCTTCTGCCTTGCAGTACTGGGGGTCCCTGGTTTGAATCCCGGCCAGATCACTATCTGCAAATGAGTTTGCATGTTCTCCCTGTGCGTGCGTGGGTTTCCTCCGGGTACTCTGGTTTCCTCCCACACTCCAAAGACATGCTGGTAGATTAATTGGCTCCGGTCGAAATTGGCCCTGTATATATGTGAGATGGGAACCTTAGATTGTGAGCTCCTTGAGGGTAGGGACTGATGTGAATGTGCAACTATGTAAAGCGCTGCGTAAATTGTCAGCGCTTTATAAATACCTGTAATAATAATAATAATAATAAACACAAGGATCCTTATTTTGAGCCATGTGACTGTCATTTTCTAATCTCATTGGACTTTGCTGAAAATAACGGTCACATGTCTTTCAAAATAAGGCTCCTTATCCGGGTATTTTAGCAAAGTTTGCATGAGATGAAAGAGAAGACGAATGGAAAATTCAGAGGCGTTGTATTAGCCATGAGGCCATAGCTGGGGGTTATTTCTGCCGTTTTCCCACCAAAGCTCCTTCATGTTTTTATCTGCTACTGTCCACTTGACAAGGCGAGTAGAGACGTCAACGTTCTCTTCCCCAGGAGTCCCTCTGACTGGCTTTGCAGAACGATTCCTCTCAGGGATCCCGTGACCTAAAACAGCCAGGATCTCGTCTGAAGGAATGAACAGTCTGCTGGGTAATTAGATCCATCAGTCTGGACCCCAGACAGACTCGGAGCGTTGTGCGTATTTCTCGGTTTTGCTTCACTTGGGTGTTTTGCATTTAGCTGCTTCTGTTGTATCAGATTGTGTGCCAGACCGAGCACTTTAAATTCTTAGCACATCATTCCAATGGAAAATGATGGAATGTGGAAGGAGCCATATTATATTTTCTTTTTTTTATGACTTTCTGATGTGCCAAACAGAAAATAGTTTAGTCATTCTCTGTAATTTGCCCAAATAAGGACTCCGAACTGCAATGTAAGGATGAGGAAGGCGGATTTATTATTATTCACTGCAGAAGCCGCTTTCTGCTTTTGTTTCAGCTCCAGTCAGAATTCCAGAACACCAGTCACGAGGGAGAATAGTCCGTCTTTGATATAATTGTGCAGGTTTACTTATGAATAGTTTATGCTTGCTCCCTTATTTAGCTTTGTTTATCTTGTCCGAGCCCGACTTTAGCACCTCAGGGGCTACAGATCACCTGAGGTCTGACATTTGCTGGATTGTCAAATGGCAGACCTCATACGCTGCACACTCAGAAGATAGGAGACAGTAGGCTGAATTCACAAAACTTTACCACAAGGATCAGGATCTTTATTTTGAGCCACGTGACTGTCATTTTGTAATCACATTGGACTATGCTGAAAATTATGGTCACATTTTTTTTAAAAGAAGGCTCCTTATCCAGGTGTTCGAGCCCAACTTTAGCACCTGAGGGGTTGGAGATCACCTGAGGTCTGACAGTTGCTAGCCTATTAAATGTCAGACCTCACACACTGCACATTCAGAAGATAAGAGACAGTAGGCTGAATTCACAAAACTTTACCACAAGGATATGGATCTTTATTTATAGCCACGTGACTGTAATTTTCTAACCTATTTGACTATGCTGAAAATAACTGGCACGTTTTTTTCAAAATAAGACTCCTTATATGAGTGTTTTATCTCGTATTCAGCCTAGTAGGCCTTATTCACAAAGCTTTACCACAATTACATAGTTACATAGTATTTGAGGTTGAATAAAGACATATGTCCATCAAGTCCAACCTATTGTGTGTGTGTGTGTGTATAGGTCCTTGATTCATCTCGTTCTTAGGAGTACCTGTACCCCTGTATATTACCGTCTCTCAGGAAATCGTCCAAAAGCTTCTTGAGCGATTCCAAACTATTAGCTGAAATCACTGCTTGTGGCAACGAGTTCCAGACCCTAACCACGCGAACTGAGAAGAACCCCGTTTGCCCCTTGTGTTTGAATTTTTTTTCTACCAGTTTTAGGTGGTGGCCTCTAGTCTTTGTTACGGAATTAATCTTAAAAAGTTTGTTGCTAATGTCGCTATGACTATAGAAGGAAAAGTATCTTTATTTTGAGCCATGTGTCATTTTCTAACCTATTGGACTATGCTGAAAATAGCCGTCACATTTTGTTGTCAAAATAAGGCTCCATTTCCAGCCGTTTTCGCTTTGTGAAGTCTGTCCAGCATGCTGAATTTACAAAGCTGTACCACAAGGATAAGAACCTTTATTTTTAAGAGGTGACTATTACATTTTCTAATCTCATTGGACTTTGTAGAAAATAACTAACTGTCACAGTTCTTAAAACTAAGGCTCCTTATCCGAGTGTTTTAGCTTTGTGAATTCAGCGCAGGCTGCTCCTCCTGTGCTGTCTATTTAGCTAACCATAGGGCTTTGGGAATCCTGCACTTGAATTAGTAGTTTGCTGACTTGCTTTCACTGTTTGCCTGGATTTTCTCTTACACATAACTTTTTAAAGAGTTTGATTTTTTAAATTGACAAAATAAAAGACAGAAATGTAAGAACAATATGGCAAGTAAGTAACTGTTTACCATAAATATCTACTTTGGGCTCATTTGGTATTTGTATTGCACTTTTTGTACATTTCAGGTTGGGCTGATACTAAAGATGTTCATTGGATAAATATTGGCTAAAATGAGAAGAAAATATACAGATTTTCAAGGCATCATCTGATTTGAAGAAGGTCTGAACCCAATCACTAAACTCTCATATACGCGTCAATATGTTATTCTAATTTCGAAAGTGGTTTTCATTCTTATTAAATCTGCAGCTTTCATTAAAATAATACTTGCTAATGAAGGTTGCTGTTTCAGACACTTTCTGTTATGGGGTGACAACTGTGTCCCAATTGTGCTCCTGTGTGTATCACAGTTGTCCCTGCTGAAGACTGCAAGTTGTTGTGCCAATACATTGCATATGGATGGTCCACCTGTGTCACTATGAGGAAGGCGGTCTAAAGCAATGCGGTGGAGTGACACTGGACCAGGGCTGTCTTTAAAATCAATTGGGTCTTGGGCAAGATTTTGCTGATGGGGCCTCAAAAACCCCCAACCTCCATCATCTGCCTTCCCCACTTCTCGACCCAGACGCCCGTATCCACCTACATCACCTTCCACTGAAAGGAAACTAAAAAATTATAATATATATTATACAAAAACAGCGGAATGGACTCTGCAACGCAACAGACTCTGGACTCTGCAGCGCAACGGACTCTGCAGCGCAACGGACTCTGGACTCTGCAGCGCAACGGACTCTGGACTCTGCAGCGCAACGGACTCTGGACCCTGCCGCGCAACGGACTATGGA